ATGTAATTTTTAATGATAAACTTTTAAATAAAATCCTCTACAGTATCATATATTATTACATTTTTAATTTTAATAAATATATAAACTGTGGAATTTTACATTTTTGTTAAACAAAAATTTGATGAGTATCTAAATATATAAAGATAAAATATTTGTACATTACTGACTAAGAAACAAAATTATATGAAAAGTCACCTAAATATATATATTTTTTAATTTAATATTTTAATGACCTAAATCAATAATTAAAGATTAATAAGAATAAATATAGGACAACAAGAGTGATGATGATAGTTGAAAGGGAGATGCAATATCTTAGAACATTCTTGTATGCATGTTGCATATATATATATATATATATACACACACACACATATATAGTGTGTGTGTGCCCTATTCCATTGTTGCCACTTGTGTAAGATTTTGAGGCACATCTTCATATGAGTAAAAATGGGAATAAGTGTTTAAAAACTAATTTTGTCTCTTAGTTTTGCATCCTCCTCCTTTGAGTGCAAGAGCAACAAGTGGGAGACAAAATCCTATCTCCAAATTGAATTTCATGGATGATGAATTATGGAATTGAATTTACTCACTAAATTAAGTTTGTAAATAATCATGAAAAAAAATGCATATTTAGTACTAAAAATTTTAGAAAATCAATTGAGATGTAAATAGTTACTAACATAATGAATTTAATATTATTTTTAATTAATAAACAAACTAAAAATATATAAGGCATAAAAGTGTTGAAGGGGGTAAAAAACTTTAAGATGTAGTTTTTTATGCATATTCTATAATTACTTTATAGACTGCACTATATAGGTTCTTGATTCATATTTCAGATAGAAATTTTTGAATTTTAAATGCAACTCACAATACAATACTAAATTAAATTGTTGAGACCACTTAAAAGAAATATCCTGGTCTAAATAATGTAAACCGTACATGGTATTATTATTGTTATTGTCATTTGCTATGGCGTTACATTGAATGGAACACTTTACCAACTAAAGGAATTCATTAAAAAACATTGTTGAATCATTTGTAAATTCTCATAGCCATCCGCACTACATTGATTACATCCATGTTTATATCAATGATGGTTCATGTGGAAAAAAAAAAAATAAAAAATAGGTGAAGAATAGTAAAATCATTAGAACCCAAGTCACTTCATAATTTTTCATGTTCTTTTTACCATGTAACATGTACACATAACATGTAATAAATAATTAAAATAATAATATTTTAAATTTTTATTTACTATATATATTTATGTATTGAAAAAATAAAAATACTCACAGTGCTAACATGAATTAAACCAAGAAGTAAATTTATCTTCCAGAAATTCAATTACCAAATGCCAACTTACATTAACTCACTAACATTACTCATTTAGATCATTTTCCATATTGTGCTACATTCCTTGAAGGTATGATAAAAATTAGAATGACACAAATCATGAACATTCCACTCATTCAAGTATTATTGCCTTATTCACTTTTCACATTAAGATATAAATATTCATGCGTCTATAAATATATTGACATTTCATCAAAATTTTAGATAAATTATGAAATAATGGTAAGTTGAGAAGAAAAATCATTGGACTGCTTGTTTTGTTTTATTTTGTTTATGGTTTAAAAATACAATTAACATCTATGTATCGAAATGCATATACTTGCCATATTAGCAGGGCCCAGGAGAGAAAACAGCCGCAGAGGATGGGTGTGCTGGCTTCTGCTCCAGTGGATGATTTTCATTTTACCAAATTCATCCACTCGACTTGGTTTCCAGGATCCTTCTTCGGACATTATTGTTGGCAGTGTTCCAAAGTAGAAGAGATAGAAAGAGAGTAGCTATCACACACATTCCTAGAGATAGAAAGAATGAGTTACTTCCAGGGTTTTGGTGGATTCCAATGTTGTTCTGTTTGTTTGGAATAAGCGTAAAAATAACATATATATATATATATATATTCATACATACATACATACATACATACATACATGTGTGGATCAATGAAAGTGACTGTTTGGTGAATTGTCTCCTTCAGCTTTGAAATATGTTACTCAGTGCTTTCCCCTTTTCTTTTTGTCTTTTTCAATAAATATGTGTAACCAAAGGTCCCAAATGGTTCTTTTGTGACCTCATTTTTTCGTGTGTAATATTGATTTCTCATCAAACAAATTGTATTTGAGGGAGGCCTTGCTTACAACAACCTTTGTGTTATTGCTTGATTACATCCTAATTATGTAATATACACATATGTATATATTTATTTACTCGTAATAATAAAAGAGTAATTAAAAGTGTGAGTATTAAGCTTTCATTTCGATTATTGTTCACAAAATTAAAAAGTAAGAATTAAAAAACACTACATCTATAAATGGTAAGACTTGGTCCAAGCATTGCATACAAAGATTTGTGGACAATCACTAATTAATGTTAATATGAAGTGAGTTTGTTATTCATTCTTTAATTATGGGTATTACATTATTATTAATAATACAATATCCTTATTTTTTCATCCATGTCTACATGCTATTGTTGTGCATATGCACTGTGATTCTTTGAGATTTTAAATAATGAAGTAATATCCATCAATGTTTCAGTGTATGACCAAACCTTACCTGTGGCACACTACCATATACAAAATATATATCCATGTTAAAATACTAGTAGAAGACAAACAACCAAAAAAGTTTTAAAAAATGAACTGGGGTATTTAGAGCACAAACAACGAGATTCTACTGCACAAAAACACCATCAATATTAACAAACTTACATGAAACATTCCTTTTTTTTTTTTTTTTTTTTTTTGTTCAATTCAAGCTTTTAATTTTCTGATTCTGCAACAGAAATGTGGCCCTGACCTGTGTTTATCCCCTCTGCATGAACAAAATCCAAAAGCAGTAGCCAGATATAACTTCATTATTATCAATATTGTTTTCTCCTTTCACTGCTCAATCATGCAAGCTTTAAAGTTCAGACACAAAACACCCAAGTTATAATGCAATGCACGAACACCAGAGCTAACATGGAATCGACACCCAATAACTCTTCATGTAGTGAAGTCAGTCTTAGGGCAGGGCAGGGTCCAGCTCAGCCCGGCCCGGGCAGAGGTCAAGTGGCAACAAATTCTTGTCCCTGCAATCTGGAATCTCGTAGAACCCCTGAACGCCAACCTTGAAGAGGAAAGGATATCCTTTTTCACACTGGAGCCAAGTGGCAGGACCCGCAGGGGGGGGCATCAGCGAATCCGCTGCTTTGTCTGGCTCCCACGTCAGCAAGAAGGACGTTCTGTTGTGGCTAAGGTTTCCACGTGGGCAAACGTGTTCTCATTGGCTCACATCCTTCCTCTTTCCTAGGCTTTTTCTTCCCCCTTCTGTTGATGATCTCGAACTCGGGGGAGCCAATCCCGGCCAAGTACTGTTGTTTATGAGCTAGAATGAAAGATGCCTTCGTGACCCCTTTCTTTCTGGTCATATGCTCTGTTTCTTTTCTGCCCGCACGTTCACACTTGCTTCTTCCTCTCCTTGGAAATGGGCTGAATGCCTTTTTGGCTACTCGGATGTTATTGTACGGCACCAAGAGGACCACCACCCCCAACAGTTCATGGGGTGTGGTGAATTAGTTTCCCTATTACCGTGTTCTTCTCCCGTGACCGTGTTCTTCCCCACTCTCATGAGTCATTGTTGTGATTGTTGTTGCCAACCAATTGTTTCATCTTGTAGAGAAAGAAATGAACATTCTGTTGCACATGTCCTCTGTATAACCTTCCAAAAAACAAATAAATTGCAATGGTATGTTATGGGGGGGGGGAACAGAATTGGGGAACATGTTCTTTGTTCCCATTCCTCCCCCTTTCATCGAAGCCTGAATTTGAGGCAGAATGACTTGATGCATGTATAAAGGGGCACACAATTATCTATATGGAACAGGTGATGGACATTGATGTAATTGTGAGCCCCCCCCCCCCCCCCCACATGAAGTAGTGTTACTGTCATGTTGACAGGCACTCATACTCCCTGCCTTTGCATTTCTTAAAAGGACAAGTCAAACTCATACATCAGTAGTGGGGAACAGGTAACAGCTGTGTATCAGTAACAGATTATCTGCCCAGGGACCTCAAAAAAATACTCCTCCTCTCACCCACCTTTTGCTTCTTCTTACATCAAACCAAAGCTGTCCTGGTGTGTTTTATAGTCTGTCCAAGTTGATAGATATGAAGTGAATGAAAGCTAGGAGGCTCTTGGTTGAGTGGAATGATGCCAAAAGAGAAAGGCTAGGATGGGGGGCATGCATCAGTTTTTCTGTACCTTGTCCACTGGCTAGATGTTGAAAGCTGGTGTTCAAATCAGACCAGAGAACACATCCCCCTCCTCCTATGCAGAGAGCCATTCTTCTGGAAGGTGGGGCTATGGGTTCCAACTCATGGAATTTGTCTGGTGGAGCGAGAATCTAGGCAACCACAACAAACAAAACAAAATATGGGCTGTTCTTGTGTCCCACTCCCAAAAATGCATCTTGTGTGGAGTTGTGATGTTCAAAATTCCCATGTCATACAACTCAAACTGATCATCGTTGTGTAAAAAACAGACCCTCCCCAAACACACAACTTCTATTAATAGACACACAGTATGATCAGTATCATTGTTATTACTTTTTAAAGCAAACCTTCCTCTGAAGCCGTCAATGAGAAAGGTCATGAGGGAAAAAGTTGAGTAAGTTGGTTGGAGTTTTCCTCCGTAGGCGTCGTCGGTGATAGGCAACGCTGTCTGAGAACGAGAACGGCCGTCTCCTCTAGCAAGGGACTGGCGAAATCAATTGTGCAATAGGTCAGGGTCCAACCTGACTTGACTGGCCCTTGATTATGGAACCCGCGCCTTAAACGGGGTGACGCGGTCACGCGGTCGTTTCCCGGGGTTATGGGAGCCTCTCTCCTTTCGCCGCTCCTCCGTCTCCGTTCCTGTCCCTATCCCCTCTCTCCTTTTCGCACGGCTTTAGCTATGACGCCCCGCTGCCGCTCTTGCTTCTTCTCGGGGGTAGCTTCGCAAAGCTCTTGTGGGCTCTTCATGTGAGGGAGCGAGAATCGTCCAAGATCGAGCATGTGGATTCCATTTTGAAGCTGGAGTTAGTTAGTTAGTGTTTTTTGCTCCCTTTTTTTCCGGGAGTAAGGAGAATGATCCTTGGTGCCGTGGTTGAGATGCACGAGAATTGTAGTTGCTTCGAAGGAGTTGGGGGTGTTGTTCGCGGTCTGGTAGGGTGCGGAGGTGCGGATCGAGATTGAATTATACAGTTTTTTTTTTTTTTTTTTTTTTTTTTTTTTTTTTCGCTTCAAATGCTGTTCGTGAGATTGGTGGGTGGAATGGTAGCAGTGAAGTTAGTTTGTTGAGGTTGTGGTGCAAGGAGGTGAGGTTGTGTCTGAGATTTTGAGCCGCGGCGGGGTTGAGAAGCTGTTGATGTGTACGTTGGCCGCGGGTTGTGAGCTGCTGCGGATCGAGTTTTAGAGGGAGCGTGCTTCGTTATCTAGCTCATAAAGAGGTGTTGTTGTGGAGTTTCGTTGATGTGATTGGTTTCATCCGTGCTGGAGTGTCATAGTTTGCGGAGGTTTGCTTCCTGTTTCAAGGAATTTGACATTGGTTTTTTTGGACTCAGATTAGCGGGAAGCGTAACAAGGCTTGGATTTAGTTTAGCGCCAGCAATGAAAGGGGAGTTTTATTATTTATCTATTTATTTATTTTCTTTGGTGTAGTAGCGACTCTTCAACAGCATCGTTGCATGACATCTGTAGTTTGTACCCAAGGACCTTGGGAACAGGGTGGCGACGGAGGGGATCCGAACTAGACCACGTATTTAGAAAGGAACACAGGCTAGAAGACCATTTTTCAGGCGTGTTACAGGGGGATATGATTTCACAGGAACTGGGAGGAGGCCTGAGTGCTTGTAGGAATGAACGATTTTAAAAACTAAATAGGTGACAAAGAAGTGACAGGAATCAATTGAGACGCGGGGTTTATTTGAAAGCTCCTTTACACTGGGAGTTTCTTAAGCATGGAAATGAAGCACTTTGTAAAAATGTTAAGATATCGTCGTTACATCAAGGATAAGACAACGGAATCCTGTGCCGTGGACCATTGAAGAACTGCGTCCTCCTCTTCCCTCATTTCCCCTGTGACTTATTTTATCGCTAACCGAGTAGCCACATCTGGTCATGTATTCTCATGCTTCTATGAGGGGTTCAGGCTACGGTCCTCCAGCAATGGATCAAGGTATGGCATTCCCCAGCTCTTCTGCCTCCAGAGTGTACAGGGCGATGATTTGTACAACTAGACAAGGCCGGTTTCTGTGCCTGTCAGCTTAGCCCATCGATCAGTGACTCGTTACCCGCTTTTGATCTGTTCCATTTCTTTGTTTTGAAGTCCTGAAGCGTGATGTTGAGATGGCATGCGCGCTAGCGTTTCAGTCGTCTACCTGATCATCATCCCATTTTCCTTGGAGACCTTATCTTTCTCATTTCAAAATTCTGAACCCAATGAAAATCTGAGCATTTTCGGTTTTTCGTCCATGGAGATCATTCTAATGGTCGATTGGCTTGATTTCATTGCGCAAGAGAAACCATTTTAATTTTTTCCTCCCCCTTGTCGTCCAGTTGTGCCTAGTTCCGAGTAGGGATCTCGTTAAACATCTTCAGTGTAGTGTCGTTTTGCACCTTAGAGAAAATACGTAAAATATTATGCCTAACCTGTTCTGAAGCTGTAGCTTCTTTCGCATTCTATCGTTCTCCGCATGATCAGCTTTGACCTCTTTGGCATTCTTTACATCACACGACGGTGTTGTTTGACACGATGACTTACGACCTGCGTAGATACCTCGTTCTTCCTCCTTCTCGTCTACTATGTTTTTCTACAAGCGTCGCTGTATCCGTAAATCACACTAGTTTTAACCTGGATACGTAGTCGTGAGGGTGTAACCCGTTTCGAAGTTTATTTATTTTGCAGCGTTGTCAATGCCGAAACAGGGTTAGCAGTGTAGAGCATTTTTCACTTGTTAAAGATGTCATTACATGTGAAGTTATGAGTACTGGTTTTTATTATCCTGGTTGGGAGAGTGATAAGTATCTCGTAGGCGGTCCCTTCTTTTCAGTACGTGGAGAGTAATTTTATATGAGACTTATGCACTCACTTTTTCGTGTAATACCCGTGCTACTGTGTTTCTCTTTTTTCCTAATACCAGGCGCATTTTCTTCTAGCTTAGGAGAGGCCAGCTTCAGTTTTGGTACCCTTTACCGGATTAAGTGTCTGACGTGACTTGGGAGATGTTGAATTTAGAATGAGAATGCTAAGGTTTCATTCATTCATTATTTTGATGTCTTACTGATTGTCATCATGTAGGTGAGAGAAGAATCAACTCTGAACTGTGGCATGCATGCGCGGGGCCATTGGTTTCACTTCCTCCAGTGGGCAGCCAAGTGGTTTACTTTCCACAAGGTCACTCTGAGCAGGTATGACATTCAAGTCATCCATGGTTTGTTGTATGAGCGAGAGTAATGTTTGGGTTTCTGCCGTTTATCCGCAGTGATTTGTTCCTACGGATGACAAGTCTGAGAGTACCATGGGAAGAAGCAATACATAGCATACTGTTGTGCAGTCACTAAACAGTGGCTGTCTTATTTTTGATTTTGTTTCTATTTGTCGATTCTATGGTCAGTTTGTTAATGGTTTTGACGTCAGAAGCATGCTAATGTTAATACTGGTTTTCAAGCTGTGAGAAGGTTTTATATACATTGGTAAACCATTAACTGGGTTTTGGGTCTGTTCACTTGGCATTAACTCCCAAGTGTTTGAAAGAGCATGTATCCTCGCGTCCATTCTATATTAGTTTCTATGGTTTCTTCAGAATGGGCCATAGAGCTTTCTAATGCAGGTTGAAGGCTTAGGTGCTCGTAGAAAATGTGACATCGTTCCACTTCTGTTGTTTGATGATATCAGGTTGCTGTGTCAACCCAAAAGGAAGCTGACACTCATATTCCCAACTACCCAAATCTTCGACCACACCTAGTTTGTACTCTTGACAATATCACCCTACATGTTAGTGTCCGCTATCCCTAAGCTATGTTGATACTTTGTTGGAATTTATTTGTAGGACATTTTTTAAGACTACATTGTCGTCGGCTCCTGGCTTATATCTTTTGTAGTATGTCATGTCCGAGTCCGACGATGAGCATTTTCTATCTCTTTGGTACTAAAAAATAAATTACGAGTACGACTCAGAAGCTGGATACCGAAATATGAAATGATGAGGACCGGCTACTGATGTGGACCTTGTATCTCTTGCAGGCGGATCTTGAAACGGACGAGGTTTATGCCCAGATGGTTCTTATTCCATCACAAGATCCGGTATGTTGGGGTATTTCTTTATTGAGGGTGTGACAGCATGCTTTTTATGTCGCAAATAGGGTTCAAACGCGTTTTAGCCTTTCATTTCGATTTTTCTTTCCTTTACAACTCAATTCTCTACCTGACAATAACCTTTAGCGAATGTAATTGAAATTCTTGCTTCTCGAACTTCAGGACAAAGAAACGATGCTACTGCCAGATGCAGTTGTGCAAAATAAGCAACCAACGGAATACTTTTGCAAGACTTTAACTGCCAGTGATACTAGTACGCACGGTGGTTTTTCAATACCTCGGCGTGCTGCTGAGAAAGTCTTCCCCACTCTGGTATCATCCTGCCTTGTGAACTAAATTCATTTGCACCAATTTCATGACAAGAGTAGCTGTGAAATTCATCGCACTCGGATTAGATATATTGATAATGACATCCGAGTAATGTGTGCTTGTAGGACTACAATCAGCAGCCCCCTGCACAGGAGCTTGTTGCTCGAGATCTTCATGACCAGGATTGGCACTTCCGCCACATTTATAGAGGTGCGCATGAATCGTCAATTCATTTTGCTTCGAATGCCCTCCATGTCGTGCTATACTGGAACCAGATGGTTATCAGTCGAAGCAAATTTTAAGATGTATTGTTATCTTGAGCAGGCCAGCCACGCAGACATCTTCTTACCACTGGATGGAGCGTTTTTGTCAGTGCAAAGAGATTACAAGCAGGCGATGCTGTTTTGTTCATCAGGTAAGTGTTCATCTGAGGCTGAAGGCGAATTTACATGTTCATGTATTTGTTGTATCCGTCATTTTGGACACGTTAATCATCATATACTCTCTTGATCAATGTGAACAATACATGAGTGTTCTCATCTTCAACCGTGTGTGGATTCTATAAGCAGGGACGACAAGGGTCAACTCTTGTTGGGCATAAGGCGTGCTAACAGGCTACAGACAATGATGCCATCGTCAGTGCTGTCTAGTGATAGTATGCACATTGGGATCCTCGCGGCTGCAAGTCATGCCGCCCAAACAAGTAGTCGTTTTACGATCTTCTACAATCCGAGGTGCGTACTTGCTTTTGCTTTAGTCTTAGTGTCATATGTGTTGGAGATGGTCTTGATCATTAAGCGAAGGATGTGTCGTTTGTTATTCTCTAACCCCATTTTACGTGATTTCAAGAGCATATGATAATGTGCTAATGTATTGTTCAATCAATGTGTTTTAGGGTTGCGAAAGCAAAGCAAACAAATCGATACGGATCTTGATCAATACCCGTGTTTGTTTGAAATCGCAGGCAAAGTCCATCAGAGTTTGTTATTCCTTTGGCCAAATACCAGAAGGCAGTCTACTCTACTCAAGTTACAGTCGGGATGCGATTTCGTATGGTATTTGAAACTGAAGAGTCTACTGTGCGAAGGTATGAAGTATATCTTCTTTGTGTGAGGGTTTGTGATTTATGATTTATGATTTACGATTTATTTTTTTTGAACTAAAAGAGAATAGAAAAACATATCTTTCTCTCCTCACCATTCTTATGTTTTTTTGAGAAAGGCTCAGTCATATCTACTTTTAATCGGATGGTGCAGGTATATGGGAACAGTCACTGGCATCGGAGATCTGGATCCTGTGAGATGGCCAAACTCGCACTGGCGCTCATTGAAGGTAAAATTTCATTTTGTAACTTCATGTTGTCAATTGGATGATTACATGGAGGAATTATCTTTAAATATCATGTGTTACTGTTTGTGTGTGAAAATTAATACATTTAAACAATAACAATTGGTAAAGGTTATGTAAAAAAGATCATTCCCTGTTGTGAGTACCAATATCATGACTGACATTTCCTAATGTTGTCTACGCAGGTTGGTTGGGATGAATCCACGGCTGGTGAGAGGCAGCGAAGAGTCTCACTTTGGGAAATTGAACCCCTAACCACACCTTTCCTAAGCTGTCCTCCTCCACTTGCATCAAGATCCAAGCGTGCACGTGGAATACACGGTAAAACTTTGCTTTCCTTTTAGCTGCGGTACATAGCGCATATTTAGCTTCTTATTCTCTGGTTATATCGGGTTTTATTCACTTTACTAGCGGTGAGTTTCTTACATTTTTCACGGGCAAATCAGATTGTTTCAGATGGAATTTGTTGTTTCAAATGTCTAGCTGTTGATAGCTTACTTCAAAGTTTGGCTCATGATCGTGTACGGATATTTAAGTGCATTTTTAGTTTGAGTGCATAGTTCCTTGAATGAAACGTATTTGATGATTGAATCTGTTGGATTTTTTGTATCAGGAGAGGATGAAGATCTTGAGGCATTGATGAAGAAGTCACAGTTATGGCCCAACAGCTGCGACACTTTGGGGCCTCTTAGTTTTGGAATGGAGCAGCCGTGGATGCGAATGTCACAGCAGAGAGCCGGAAATGAGTACTATCGCACATTTGCTGCCGCCACCGCCTTGCAAGAATTCCGAGACCCTTCCAAGCAAGTCGTGACTGATTCCATGCCCAACTCACAAATTCTGTATCGACAGCCGCAGCCTCAATTACAGAACCAGCATAACCAGCAATTGATGCCACAAATGAATGATGTACCAGGTCCACTCCTGCAATTGTCCACAACTCAAGCATCCATGGATTTGGGAAGCTCTGTCAGGCCAAGTTCAAGCTACTCAGATTCGGAGATACACTTGCCATCGCCATCTTCAAGATCCTTCTCAATTCAAGGAATGATGGGTAGAACCCTAGGCAACGTTCCGACGAACTCGGGTGATGGAAATCAGTTTCCCAGCTTGATGCGTCCCAATCAAACTGGCCTCTCACCTTGTGGTTTAATAGCGGGAAATCACCAGGTGAATTTGGTCGCTCCCCTTTCCAGTTGACTTGAATTGGAAATTCAGTAATAGATATAGTTTTTCACAATTATTTGTGAGGGCTGACATCACTCCTCAATTCGATGTTTGGGTTATATGTCTTCTGTGCATTAGACATGGTGCCAATTTATTATTCATGATGTCTTATGTGAATGTTCAATAATTGTTTACTACGTGCCAGGTTTCTCCTTCATGGTTTCCAACCTTGCAGAATCCAAGTCAAGCTGAGTCTCAGTCAACAGCCTCTCCTCGACTGCATCGAGTGGAAGTGCCGAATGGTGGTGGAGTGCCTGGTTCATATGGTTTCACCCAACATGGAGAACCGGATGTGCAGCCAAGTCTTGAACACCTACCTACATATGGTTTTCGCAGCAATGGGGCAGAATCAGATCAGCTGCAGACTGATCGAAGTCATCTTCTATTTGGTGTTCCTATTGATCAGCCACTTGGTACCTCGAGTGGCCTCCCATCTCCCAATTTCGGGAAAGCAAAAGACCTGTCTGGCAATACCATGTTACCTGGGTCATTCTGTTCCCCAGCTACACCAGGCGATTCTGGAATCATGCCAAGTGAGCGCATAGATGACAATGTCATGTTGCCACGGGGCGTGGGTTGGCCTACTGTGCAACCTGCACCTCCTGTGCGGTCCTTCACCAAGGTTTGTATGTGACTTGAGTCTTCAATTTTCTTGAATGCTAGGTCTCTCTGATATACCTATATTAGATTACCTGATCTTCATTTCGCAGTTGGATGCTGCGTCCTATCTTGGATATGGTTTGTTTTAGCATTGAAATTCATTGGGGGCTTCTTTGAACTCCAGACAAGATTTAACTTTTGCAATTGAAAATGGGGTGATGGTGAATAGGTGCATAAACTTGGGTCAGTGGGGAGATCGTTGGATATAAACAAATTCTCAAACTACGCAGAGCTTCGAAAGGAGCTTGCTCACATGTTTCACCTGGAGTGTCTCATGGAGGATCCTCAACAATCGGATTGGCTGATTGTGTATGTCGATAATGAGAATGATACACTTCTACTTGGTGACGGCCCCTGGGAGTAAGTGCTTAAATCTCTTAATTTTTTAATATATATATACATATACACATTTTTTGAGGTCATCTTTTTCTTAATACCCAGTGGAATTTGAATTATTGTAAGTATGATACAAAGCAATCGCCCTTGAAGCGAATTGAAGGTCGTATGTTGTCCTTGCAGGTATTGAATATACTTAGTGGTGCTTATTCTGTGATTGGACTATTACCTCTGGTCACTCATTTTCATGTTTTTGGCATGTGCAGAGCGTTTGTGAGTTGTGTCCGATCTATCAAAATTTTGTCACCTGTGGAAGTGGCTCAGATGAGTCAAGAGATGCCAGCTGCTGTGCTAGGGCAGCAGCTTAGGCCATCAAATAGCAATTCAGAAGATGCTCCAAATTCCCAAGCTGGTGGAGGAGCGTTGGACCACTGAGTTAGGACATGCGTGATTGCGAGAGGAAAAGAGACTGAGGGTAACCCGTTCCTGAAGCCTTATAATGGCTTAGCGTTTTTGGGTGTTGACTGGACAAGAGCATTGACCCGCATCGTGCTGCAAGATCCGATTTTTGTCTTGGACCAGCCTTTTATCAGCGGGCATACGGTAACAATAGCTTCTTTTTACAATGGACAAGCAATCACGCAGGCCACAGCACCGTCAGCAGCCCCGAGCAGTTGAATGGAGTCCTATTTTGTGTTGAGCTGGAATTCCAGGCTTGGAGGCGTCTTTGACAAGAGACTAAGAGATTTGTAAGGAATTTGCTGTTGCCTTACGCAGCCATCTCTTGAGCAGGTTCGAAGTATCCGTGCACACGTCACAGAGAATCGATCTCTGCCTGTTGCTCTCTAGCTGCAAGCTTGGAGAATCCACTTTCAGTCGGCAAGGTTTGCGTTTGCGAAAGGCTGACGAGTAACAACTACCACTATGCATGCAGAATGTTATACATGAAATAAAACCCTGGTAAGGAGATTTTGAGAAGAGCTTAGCATGAATCCTTTGCTTTGATTTTATGAAAGAGCATGGGTTTCGGTTTATAGCTCTTGTGGAAGGTATTCTCTTCTGGGTACTCTGTTACGGCCCCCAGACTCGCTGTAGGCAGCTCTCTGTTGCCTTAGCATACTGTGGCTCTGGATTCTGTCCTTAATGATCTCTACTTTAAGTGGCAGCCCGTGAAGACTTTCTCTGCTTTTCGACTGTGTTCGTTTCCCCCTTTTTTTTTTTTTTTTTTTTTTTTTCCTCTACTTTCAGGAGCTGAGTTGTTTGGCTTACAGGATTTTAGGAACAGCTACTTCTTGAGACTTCAGGTTCGAATACTTTGTTGGCTCAGTTATGGCACAATCATAGAGAACTATAAATATCTCCATGCCAGATTCTTCAGTTTAGAGCTATGACCAGGTTCTGGATGCCGTCTTGACCACTACGACGGGTGTGCCGTACTCTGCAATAGTTAATCTTCTAAGGCTCACTGCCTTCTGTGTGGTCAAGTGGAGCATGAATGATGGATGCTCTTGTACATACAAAAAGTTTTGGTTCTCAAGGCCTGCTGAGTCGTGGAATTTGCCTTAAGTGTTTCCTTTCCCTTCATCATTTCAACCGTCCGATTTGCAGTGAAGCCTTGACCTGAATTCTATGTTGTTATCACCTTGATTCTTCTACTTGTTTGTGCTCCTATTTTGTGCACTTGCATTCTGCTGGATTGTTCAGAATTTATTCCTGCAACTGCTTGCTGTACCGATCGATTCATTCAGGGTCTCCGTCACAAGATTTTCTTGACTAAGAAAACACTTGCAGAAATTTTGAACTCATGTTTTCAATAGTCCCAACTGAAGAGATTGCTATCTAATCTTAAAGAGCAATATGAAGTCTTTTCTGAGAGACAAACATTGTTACATGATTTTGAATTAACTGTTTGTAATTAGCATTCAAGGATTTTAAAAATAAATCTTAATTAAAAGTCATTCTTGAGATATTTTCTAAAATATCCCATTTTATTGCACTACTAAGATTATAATGGATTCAATTATAGGAAGAATCAGAACCATTCTTTTTCAAAACTTAAAAACATAATGCAGACATGAAGATGAAGTAGCAATATGAGGTTAAGATGGCATAGTATGTTGAAGTGCTGGACAAATACTAATATTTTAATTACAAACATTATTATACATAACATAACCTTGAATTCAATAGCATTTCTACTTTATGTTGTGGGATTTAATTTTGTCTTTTTAAAAAAAACTCGTGGAAAAATCATTGACGTAATTAATTAATAGATGCAGTAAACCAAAGTGATGTCTTGATTTCCTTTCCTGTTAGTATTGGTACTAAATTGCTTTTTGAATTAAAAAAGCAATTATGTATCAGAAATAAAACTATGGAGATACTATTACATTCTCATTTAATACCTACTTATTGGCTTTATTATTTGGTTTGAAGTAAAAATATAACATTCACAAATAATCTACAGTAAAGAATCAACCATATTATTATAATGTCAAATAAAACCTGTATTCAAAAAAAATTGTAATATTAATTTTATAATTTTATAATTATTATAATTATTGATATTTAAATTTTAAAAAAGAGGTACAAAATCAACTTATTCTTGATATTGCACAATAAATATGCAAAAATTATAGAAATTTCAACAACTTTTTATTCTTTCCACTTTTATCATTTTACTTTAAGGAGAGATGGAGGTCTACACCATTGGTAGAATGATATGTTAAAGGTATTGTAGGAAGTACAAATTTTATTGTTTTTGAGTTTATCTTGTAATAGTGTAATGTCTTCCATGTTGTCTTCATACCTATCTTTTTGTTAATAGATGTGTTGGTCAAACAAGATGTGCTAGCAAACTATTTGTGCAATAAATTATTCTATGGCTGTTAATATCTTTAGTAAGTATCAAGCAAAAAAAAAAGATCAACCACATATTCCTTAGGTTGCAAAGGAAAAGTTAAAGAGTCTTTAATTTTTTTTTTTTTTTATACTATTTGTTATTTTGAACATATATTTATTGTGTGTTTTGATATTATGACGCATAAACTAAAAAACCATATTAAAATATATTGTTTTATTTATTAATAAATAAGAGTTAATTAAATCATCAAATCATTAGATAGACATAATAAAGATGTTGAAAATAACTAGTTGAAACATTCCAAGAAAGTTCTACTTTTTTTGTGCTTGAGTAGAAAATTCTTAGGGAGCAAATTGATGCATTGAAGCTTCTTGTAGTTAGAAACGGTCTTAGTATTTGTAATGATAGTAGAAGTATAAATATTTCTCTTAAAGGATTTTTACACAAGAATTCACAAATATGCAATTTTGTTAATTGGTATTGAAATTTATAAAAATAAATCAAAACCTTGATAAGAATTGGATAATACATGATGTTAGATAGACTTTGAAGAAATTGGATAACTTTTTTTTTATTAAAATTAATATATATATTTTTAAAAAATAATTTGTACTTCTAAAAGAAAAATAACATATTAAGTTATATATTATTATATATGCTTTCTAAAACCACCACTACTAGAATCTATAAAAAGATAACAATAAAAAAAAATTTCTATTAGAAGATTATCTTCGGTGACTAATGCTTACAAATTAGAAGTTACAAAAATTTATTGTAATCTAAAACATTGTAGCTCAAAGTAGTAATGAAACAAGAACAAAACTAGTAGTAGTTTAAAAAACTGTTAATCCTTAATCCAATCATAAAAGATAATTATTGATTTATTTATCAAATTATTAATAATTTGAGTATTAATATTTTTTAAAATACTTTTATTTTTAACTTTAAAAAAGAGATCATATTAAAAAAATTTAATACTTGTATCTATGTAAAAATAAATTTCAGTATAAAGAAAAAAATTAATTGTATTAATGGTGTGTTTTTATGTTTATTTTCTAACTCAATAATTTTTATAAAAATATTCCAAATTAAATATACATATAAAGTTTAATATATTATTAATTAAAAAATATTATTAAATCATTTTTTTTCTTTATCATTCTTCCATAATATTTTTATTTTATTTTCATAGATTTATTTAATTTTTAAAAAGAAATAAAAATTAAAATACATGTGTTTAATAAATGACAACAAAGAAATGTATTTTTACAAAAGTTAAAACTTCTAATATACCACAATGTAAAAATTGAGTATTTTTAGAATTTACAATAAAATTTAAAACTATTAAAATAAGATTCATGAAAAAGTGATATTTTACTAAAACTCAAGTTTAATAATATTTATGGAAATTGAGGAAATAACTTAAAAAAATATACATAAAAAAATGTTTTAAACTTCAATAAATATGAAAAGAAATCGAGGTCATATAAAATAAATTTAATCATTTATTTTTTATTATTTTTATACTATTCCTACACCTTATATATTAACATTTGATTTTAAGTATTTTATTTTTAAAAATTATTTAGTACTATGATATTTTAAATGTGAATATTTTACAAATATAATTGTAAAATTAAAAAGATAAAATAATTTTAATTTATAATAAGTATTTTTTTCCTTTATTTTTAAACTAATTATTACATATATATTTTGAATACTATTAATTAAGATATCTAACCAATTACAAATTCAAAGAACTTCCACTAAATTGTAACACATCATTTTATGTATCTTTAAGGAAATTGTAAAATGTCCTTAATGGCTATCTAATGTTGTAGCCTAAGATTTGCCATGTATTAGCTAATAACTCCTATTACATATAAAATATCATCTTAAGAAATTATCATAAATCCTATTTTAAGTCATCATATTTAAAAAAAAATTGAAGTCTTACAAAGTTTAGAGAGAAGCCATGCAAATCTAAATATTTATATTTTAATAAATAATAATAGATTCATTATTACTACATCCTATATAGATGCCTTGGTTATAGTTTGTAATAATTAAAGACTACTTTCAAAAAATTACAAGATTTTTAAAAAATAATTTAAAATAATTTTTTTAGTTTTTTCATATGCAAAAAATAAAATATTAATAAAATCTTATGATTTACTTCAATAAATAAAAGTATTTAGATAACATACTTAAAAGATTTGGTATAAAAAATTTCAAATCTTTAGCTACATCTTTAGATTCATATAATAAAATATTAAAGATATCTTAAATCCTATTTGATAAATTTCTAATTCTTTAACTATTGCTGCAACAAATATGAAATGCACATACAAAAAATACCTACAATCTAATAAAGAAGACAAAGAATATAAGTGCTTCATTTAAATTAGCTCTAAATTGGACTTGAACCAACTCATAGATGTAGTGCCTCCAGATCCTTGCTAAAGAGGGGAGGGAGAGAAGAGAGCTAAGCATCTAGCCTTTGCTCCTTACTTAGAAATCTCTACAAAAGTTGTTAAAAAATAATTGTGCAAAGCTTGCCAAGAAAATTCAAAATAACATAATATAAGACACATATCAAAAATCATATTTAATACAAGAAGAGTATAAATTAAAGTCATCTTTTTTATAATAAAAAATATATCATTATAATCAATACTTTCTTTTTGCACATAGTCCTTTGCAATTACTCTTCTTTTGTAGCGCTTGACTAAATCATATATATTATATTTGATCTTAAAAATATATTTGCAATCAATTAATTTTCTATTTGTTGGTAAAGGTATCAAAAGTCTAAATCTATTAATCTTTTTCACTTTTGAATATTATCCTTTTTCATGGCTTTGATGGAAATAATAGATTTTCCAAAGCTTGTGTAAAATACACAAAATTCTTTCTTAAAAAGTATTCAATAAAGTCAAAGTGTTTTTGCTTTCTACAAGATTTTATCTTTTATAAGACCATTAGTATTGGATTATATTAATTCTAAAAGTTTGATTGCACAAATACTACTTTTTGTTAGAAAGACATCACAATATTTATTTTTTTATAAATATATCTTTTACAAAATTCTAACCTTGTATCCTAATCTAAGTATAGATGAATAAATATATTACTTGCTTATAGTTTCTTTAAGTCCAAAATACCGAGATGACCATATTGTTGAAACCAAAGATTAATCTTACTCAAAATTTCTTTTATTTTTGTGATAAGATTTATTTTTTTTATCTTTATTCAATGATCCTAAAATTTAAACAAGCTTCAATATCTAACAACCTTGATGATAGTATTGTCTTATTTTATAAGATATATATTAGGCTTGAAGTAGAAATCATAACCTTGATTTGTTATTTTCTTAATGTAAAGAAAATATTTTTTCTATTTTATAATATGAAAAATATCATATACATTCTTTTAATTATTTTTTAGACTTTAAAAAGATATTATATTTTCTTCTTAAATAGCAAGTCTAATATTTTTGCCTATACTAATCTTAGGTCCTAATCATAGACTTTTATAACTTAAAAACCAACTTTAATTTTATGTCATGTTTTAAAAAGCATTAGAATCAACATGTAACTTTTAATTACTTATATGATAGATAACATAACTAAAAATAGTAATTCATCCTCTTTTATATTTTCTTAAGCCTTTCTAATAATTCTATTGTAAAGTGTATATATATATATA